AGCTCTTTCCCCTTGGACCACTCCTTGGGCCTCAGCCTGATGAACTGACTGACTGTTCTTTCTTCTTTCATTGCTTTTTCTCCTATTTTCTATCCTTTTCTTCTCCCTTCCCTTTTCCTTATTCTGTTTCCTATCTTTCTCTTACTTCTTTCCCTCCTCTCTGTCCTTACTTTTTTCTCTCCTTTCCCCCCTTGCTTTCTTTTTTAGCCTCCTTTCTGTTTTCCTTTTCTTTCTTCTCTCCCTTCCTCTTTCCCTTTTTTTCTTCCTTCTCTTCCCTTCCTCTCCTCCTATCCTCCTTCCCTCCCTCCCTTCATCAATTCCTTCCTGTCTTCTTTCCCTCCCCTACCTTCCTCTTTGTCTCCTTCTCTGACTACCTGCCTTCTTTCTTTCCTCCCTTTCTTCCTTTGGAGATAGTTAGGTCATACAGTGGATAGAATACTACACCTGGACTCAGAAAGACAGATACTTACTAGCTGTGCGGTCCAGAGCAAATCATTTGCCCTCTGTCTGCCTCAGTTTCCTCTACTGTAAATTAGGAATAATAATAGCACCTACCTTCCAGAGTTGTTGCAAGGACCAAATGAGATATTTGTAAAGTTCCTAGCATATAATAACTGCTTAACAAATACATTTACTTCCTTCCCTCTTTGCTTTCTTTCTCTTCCCTCCTTTTTTCTCTGTCATTCCTTTCTTTCCCTCCTCTTTCATCTTTCTTTCTCCCTCCCTTCTTTTCTCTCTCCATCTCATCCTCCCTTCCCCTACCTCCTTTCCTTCCATTTTCCTCTCTCTTCATTCCTTCCTTCCTTCCATTTTCCTTCCACTCTCCCTCCTTCCCTCCATCCTTTCCTTCTTTCTTTCCTTCCTTCTTCCCTTTTCCCTTCCTTTTCCCTTCCCTTCCTTTCCCCTTCCTTCCCTTTTCTTCCCTTCCCTTTTTTCCTCTTCTGTTCCCTTCCCTTCCCTTCCCTTCCCTTCCATCCTATCCATTCCTTTCCTTTCCTTTCTTCTCTCCCTTCATTCTACTCAGTAAAAAATTTTCTTTTGCTTAGATGTGGGATTCCTGAGCTGAAGGTTCAGCCTGGAAGCTTCCCTCTCTCCCCTGGTCATTGGCTCTCATGGCCCTTCCCCAGATACAAAGCAATGGGGTCACATATTGTCCTGCTGGTTATTCTGCCTTGGGTGGATCCCATGGACCAGAAGCCTTGAAGGGGATCTGGACAAACAGGGGAGTTGTCCTACAAGTTGGGAAGATGACTCAGGCTGGCCCAGTCTCAGCCTCATACCAAATGCTAAAGTCCTGGTCTCAGACTCTAGCTTCAGGTCCCTGGAGTCTGGGACCTGGCTGGCTCTTCGTTGACCTCTTCCTGACACTTCACAGATGTGGAACCTGAGTCCTAGAAAAGTTAAGTGACTTGCCCAAGGTCACATAGGTCTTGAAACCAGGCCCCCTGTCTCCAAATCTAATGTTCTTGCTATTCCACCACCCTTCCGTGGATATTTTTGTGAGAAGAGCCAATTGCAAACATTTTGCATTAATAGAAATGTGAGTTGTTGCCAAAGGTCTCTTTTGGCTTAAGATAGCTGCGTGATTCTGGGCAAGCCACTTAACCTCAGTTTCCTCAACCATAAAATGGGCATATAATATAATAACACCTACCTCCCAGAGTAGCTATGAGGATCAAATGAAATATCCGTAAAAAGTGTTTAGCATAGAACCTGGCACATAGTAGGCACTGTATAAATGCTTTTTCTCTTCCTCTTTCCCCTTCCCTTTCCCTTTTCATTAAATAAAATGAGACCAAATAAAAATATTTGTTCATTCAACAAGCATTTTTTGAGTTCAAGGCCTTGCCTAGAGGCAGCCAGGTGGCACAATGGATAGAGTGCATGTTCCTGAGTTCAAATCTGGCCTCAGACAGTTACTAGCTGTGTGACCCTGGGCAAGTCACTTAACTCTGCCTCAGTTTCCTAATCTGTAAAATTAGCTGGAGTATTCTATGCCAAGAAAACCCCTAACGGGATCATGAAAAGTCAGACACGACTGAACAGCAGCAAATCCAAATCCAGTGCATTGCACTGATAACTGAACTTTACACTCTACTAAGAATCCCCATAGATTTAAAGCTAGAGGGGACCTTGGAGGTAATCTAATCCAACCCCATCATTTTACAAATGAGGAAACTGAGACCCATAGAGGTAAGTGACTTGCCCAAGGTCACATAAGTAAGTAAGTGGCAGAGCTGAGATTTGAAGTCAGGTGTTGTAACTTCAAGTCCCCCTTAATTAGACTGGACCTCCACCCTTGCATTCTAGTACAGATGAAGAGATATAGACATCAAGAGTTATAATGGAAAACTATCTAATGACAAATCCAATTAATGCAGTGAGAATGGGGTGGAGGTCAGGGTAGGCATCATTTGCAGCAGAGGCATTCAGAAACTGGCATTGAAGGATGGCTAAGATTTCAACAGGTGGGGATGGGACCAGGACCTTTTTGGTTAAGTCATTAAACATTTATTAAGTACCTACTAGATGGAAGACACTGGCCTGGGTGCTAGGAATACAAAGGCAAAAAACAAAAAGCAATCTCTACGAACCAAAGGACTGGTATTCCAGTGGAGGATAGAATAGCTAAACAGATGAGTAAAGAAAAGAAAAATTTGAGGAGAGCACTAAGGAGTGAGGGGTGTGTGTGTGTGTGTGTGTGTGTGTGTGTGAGGATGGGGAGAGATCAAGAAAAGCTTCCTTTTGGAAGTAGCAACTGAGCTGGGCTTAGAAGGAAGCTAAGAATTTTAGGGGACAGCAGCAAAGAGGAAGGGCAGGAGCTGGAATATCTAGTTTTGGAAACTGCTAGCAGGCCAGTTTGGATGAGGCTTTGAGTCCAAGAAGAGAAGTAACATGAAATAAATCTGGAAAGGCACATGGGAGAGCCAGACTGTGGAGGGCTCTAACCGCTACCCTAAAACATGTGCATTTAATCCTACAAGTGACAGGGAGCCACTAAAGCTTCTTGAGCAATGGAGTGAAATGGTCAGACTTTTGCTTTAATACGATTATTTTGACAGCCATGCAGAGTATGGCTTGGAGAGAAGAGAGACAGGGAGGGATACCGTTTAGGGGGCTACAGGTTGTGACTTTGTGAGTGGAGAGAAAAAGGTGGATGATGAGAAGGTAAGAGGAGGCCCATGTTGTACAGGCAGACAGAAGTTATAAGGAACAATGTGAGCAAAGGCTGTGGGTCAAGAAATCATTAGAAAAATTTGGGAAACAACATTTAGACACACATACAGTGTCCAGTCCTAGGTACCACATTTTAGGAAGGACTGACAAAGTGGGGTGCATCCCAGTGAAAGTGAACAGTAAAGGACAGAAGACCATAACAAAGGAGGATCCTAGTCAGAGGAACTGGGAATTTCAGCCTAGAGAAGATTCAGGATAGGGACCTGACAGCTGTCTTCAAGTATTGCAGGCCTGTCAAGTGAACAAGGAAGTAGACTTGTCCTGCATTGTGTCAGAAGGAAGAGCTGGGAACAATGGGTAGAAGCTTCAGAAGCAGATTTCCTCTTTATCCAAGAAAAAACCTCCTAAGATGCAGAGCTGACCGGAAGAGGAATGGGTGGCATCAGCAAGCAGTGAGTTCTCTCTGTCACTAGAGATCTTCACTAGGATAAGTAAAATTATTTGAATTGAATTCCTGGCCCACGTTCTTCCTGCTCACTGGTCCTCATCAGGGTTCATCTCTCCCTGCCACTCCTTTGTCAGCATGTGCTTAGAAAAGGAAAACTGCTGGAGCATCAGGCTGGCCAAAGAGGAAGCAGCTTGATTCACCAAAGCCCAGAATCGTGATTGACACCAATGCCCTGTAGGACCCTGGACAGGCCACTCTACCTCTCTTGGTCAGATTTCCTTCTCTGTTACATGAAGATGTTGAGCTGGATGGCATCTAAGGTACCTTTCAGCTCTGATATCCTATGTTCTCAGGGCCCTCCACTTCCAACATTACCTTCCATATCTCAAAGTCTATTCAGATAATACATAATCAATCTCTTTCTTTGATTTAATTTTATTTTCAGATCTACATTCCCTCTCTCCCAGCTCTCCTCACCACCACCACTGAGAGAGCAAGAAAACATAATCTATCTTTTAAGATTCCTCCAAGATGTGACATGATATACCTAGAATATGGAAGGTAACTTGGAAAGAGACGATGGGCTGGAACCCCTTTTGTGTTCTAAAAACAAGAAACAAACCTAGAATCAAAGTGAATGCCCATGAGTTGGGAATGACCAAACTGTAACATGTGAATGTCATGGAAAATTATTGTGCAGTAAGAAACAACAAAGATGAGGAATTCAGAGAAACATTAGAAGGCTTATACAAACTTATGCAGAATAAAGCAAGCAGAGACAATGTTATTTCAGTTTACATTTATAAAGGGGGTATGGTGCATGGGCAGCTAGGTGGCACAGTGGATGGAGCCCCTGGCCTGGAGTCAGGAAGATCTGAGTTCAAATCTGGCCTCAGACACTTACTAGCAGTGTGACCCTGGGAAAGTCACTTAACCCTGTCTGCCTCAGTTTCCTCATCTGTAAAATGAGCTAGAGAAGGAAATGGCAAACCATTCCAGTATCTTTGTCCAAAAAAAACTCCAAATGGGGTGACAAAGAATCAGACGTGACTGGAAAAATTGAACAACGTGTGGTGCGTGAACAGACCTCTCCATGTAGAGAAGTCTGGGAAGATGGCTTCTGGGAGAATCATGATGACAGATAAGGGTAGTGGCTTGAAGGAGACTGTAGAGCATCCATGGACATTGTGTAACTGGTTCCTGGTGGTCAGCTACCAGGGAGGAAGCCTTTTTCAAAAAGACCTGAGTCAGCTTTACCATCACTTTGCTCTATTTGTGTCTGGGGGATCTTAGGGATTCTTTTACTCACATAGTCCTTGTCCTCGTCTGTTTGTTTGTTTGTCTGTTTTATTTTATTTTATTTTTTAAATTCTAGGTGAAGTGAGTGGAGTCTCAGACCTTGGAGGAAAATGGGAGTCAGATCCAACCTGGGTTTTGCAGCTAGTGCAGTACTGATGCCCCAAGGAGCCATTTTGGGAGTGACATTCAAGTCCCTGGCCCAGTGGAGGGCAGCCACGTCAAATCTAGGCTCGAACTTGGTGAGACAAATGTCATGTAAGAACTTAGCTAAGTTTTAAGACTATTTTCCTGGAGACTTAGATGGTGTAGGGGAGAGTATGCCCTGGAGGAAATGGCTGTATATTTATTCTTGACATATCTTTGAAGTTAACATATTTTTATAAAAGCCAGCCAGTGTTAAATGGTTAAATGGAAATGCGAGCTAGTCACTGGCCCCTAGCAATGAGGAATGCAGATGGTGGTGGCTTGAGCCCATGGCGGTGGAGAAGAAAGAACCCCACAAACCCCTCCGGGTCCCCTAGAGCCTTGAGGGGGCCATGTACTCAACCTGGTCTTGAGAGAGTGGGGCCAGAATGTACGTGTGACCCATGATTATATGTCTATTATAATGTAAACAACAGACCACTCTTGGTTGGGGGAAACACGCCTCCTTCTTTTCAAGAGAAATGGGAAGGGCTGTGCTACAGGGTGGAGAGTGTTTCATCCACTGTCAAACACTGGCATTGAATAGATTGGCTGTGCTTAATTGTTTTTCTTTGTTATTAGAGAGGCCTCATTTCTCTCTCCCTCTCTCTCCCTCCCTTCCCTCACCAGCTCCCATAGATTCAGTTATCATCTTTACATCTATATGTTTAGTCCTAGGCTCTCTCCTGATTTACAATCCTGCATCACCAGCTATCCATTAGACAGTTCAAGGTGGGTATCCCATAGGTGTGTCAAACTTCACATTTCCAAAATCATTTATTTTTCTCCCCCACCAAAGCCACCCCTCTTCTAAACGTGCTCGTTGTCAATGCCACAACCATTCTTCCTCAGTCATGCCGACTCCTCACTCTCAGTCACTCCGTGTGTCCAGTCACCCCCTACTGTACCTCACTGCCTGTTCTTGTCTCCTAGTCCCACAGCCCTCAGACCAGGACTTTGGGTATTTAGAGGAGGGGGGACCCTCCCATCAATGGGAAGGGAATAAGAATGCTAGCTGACTTTCAGATAGCACTTCAAAATTTTGCAGAGCATTTTATGCCCATTATTTCATCCTACACCCAGCCAAGTCAACAAGCATTTATTAAGTGCTAAGCACTGAGAAACTAAGCATAACCAGAAAGAAATACAGTCTCTGTCCTCAAAGAGTGTCCTTGTCAGAGAATACCTCCTATAAAAGGAAGCTAAAGGGGGGCAGAGCATGGAGGTAGCCAGCTAGAAGCATTCTAGAAAAAGTCTGGGAGGGCCAGGAGGGCAGCCTGGAGAGGAAGGAAGGTACGGCTGCCCTGGGTGCTCTCCTTCAAATGGAGGTTCTGGGAGGAAGGAGCCAATCAGAGGGAGGGACCGAGGAGGTTTGGACTACTTCCAGTGTGGGAAGTCCAGGGGTGAAGCAAGCTTCCAGAGTACTTTCCATGGAATGGTAAAGTCCAAAAGAGTCAAGAGTGCATCAGGAGTGCATCCTGGAGAGAGATGATCCTTTGAGATTGGTACGACTGCTACCCATAGGTACTATTATTCTCATTGTTCATATGGGGAAACCAAGGCTTAGAGCAGTTCAGTGACTTATCCTGGGTCACACAGCTGATGAATGCCAGGGGTGAGGTGTGAGCCTATGCTGGGGTTCTAGCGGCTCTACCATCCCTCTTATATAAGTTGAGAAAGGAGCCTTAGGGATCACTTAAATCAACCCCTTCATTTCACAAAAGGAGGAAACTGAATTCTTAAGATGAGAAATGATTCTTGCTGAGGAGTCCCAGGGGGCAGTCCTTTCCTTGTGCTAAGTGCCCTCTGGAACTGTCCCAAAGAAGGTTCCGCTTCTCAAGAGGTCCTTGAGTGAGCACAAGATGGACACTTGTGGAGATGTTATGGAGGCATTCCTTTGTAGGGATGGGAGGGACAAGACGGGCCCTTTCCAAATTGGAGATTACTTGATGCTTATGGGGACTCCATGAGCCTCTATTTCTTCCCCTGTAAAATGGAAGTAATAATTCCTGAACCTGTGGTGACCTACCTCAGAGGGTTACTTTGACCTTCAAATGAGATTGTGCATATAAAACGCTCTTCTGCTTCCTTTGCAGTCAGATCAGCTGCCAAAGCAATATTCCTAAAGCTTGTTTCTGACCATGTTACCTCCCTCCCCCTATAAACTCCAGTAGCTCCCTATTACCTCCAAGATCAAATACAAAATCCTGTTTGGCATTCAAAGCCCTTCCAAACCTGCTCACCCCACCTCAACCCATTTCCAGTCATCTCAACCTTACTCCCTCCACATGCTCTGCCGTCCATCTACACCAGCCTCCTGACTGTTCCCGGAACAAAACGTTCTATCTCCCAAACTAAGCATTTTTCCCAGATGTCCCCCATGCCCTGGATGCCTCCCCGCCTCATCTCTACCTTGCAGCTTCCTCAGCTTCCTTCAGGTACCAGCTAAAATCCCACCTTTCACAATCCCTTTTAATTCCAGGGCCTTCCTTTTATTATTTCCTTGTCCACATGTTGTCTTCCCCACCAGACTGGGGACAGGTCTTGACCTTTCTCTATGTCCCCAGCACACAGTGCAGTGCCAGACGTGTAGTAGGCGCTTTTCATAACTGTTTCTTGACTGGCTAACTTAAACCTCTCTTGCTGTCATTTCAATTCATCCTTCTAGTCCTGGGCTCCAGCGTTCTTCAGGGCCCATCACAGGCTGTTAGTTCCTTGATGGAAAATAGCAGATGGAGATGCTGTTAAAAATAGAAATCAGGCCCAGAAGAGGGGAGAGGAACCTGGCTGCTAATCACATGGAAGGGGCCTGGGATTGTGCCTTGGAAATCACAAGAGTTTACTGCGCAGGGGATTAAGGCTTCAGCATCTGGGGAGTGTCTGTTGGGGCAGCTCTGTGGCGACGATTGTGGTGATGACGGGAGTGACTGTGCTATCGATACCCAAGCAGGCCCCATCTTCCAGGGCCAGCCCAGGCCAGACCTCCGTCTGCTCCATGAGCTCACACTCCCCTGCCCTCGCTCCCAGCTCCCAACATACACACACACACACACACACACACACACACCCAACTCTGTTTAATTCCCCAATACACAGGACTCTATTTAACTTCCTCCTTTCTGCCGATCAGTCCAGTTGCCCCAGCTCCCTCCATCCTTGACCCAGATTCAGCCAGCCCACCCAAGGCTCTCAGTTCCTAAGACCATCAGAGTAGAAAGGGTGCTTGGAGCATAGAGTGTCAGAGCTGAGAAAGTCCTCAGAACATGGGATGTCAGAGATCGTAAGAGCCTTAGATCATAGAATGTCAGACTTAGGAGGGACCTGAGAACAAAGAATGTCAGAGCTGGAAGGGGCCTTAAAACACAGACTGTCAGAGCTGGGAAGGGCCTTAGACAACCTTTAGTCCAACTCTTCATTTTACAGGTGAAGAAACCAAGGCCTAGAAAAATACATGCGTTGCCTTTAGAGGCAGGGCCAAGACTTAAGCTTCTCAGGCCATTGCTTTCCTCCACACTCTGGCACCCACAGGTCTAGCATGACCATAGAGGGCCTGAGATGATGGCTGAGGATGGGCTACTCCTCCCAAGGCAGGGATGTCTAAAGGAAAGTGCCCTGAAGCTCTGAGAGGAGAAGCTACTTGCTCAGGGTCACACAGGATCTTAGTGTCAGGGCCAAGTCTCCAAAATCCCTTTCATGGCTCTGGCTCTCCTCTGTTGCCCAAGGAAGGAACCTAATGAGGGTATGGGGCATCTCAGGAGGTAGAGTAGGGAGAGGGAGCAGAGGAGGCTATGCAAATGGAAGGAAGGGGGGAGGAAGGAAAGAAGTGAGGGAGGGACTGAAGGAGGGATGGAGGGAGGAAGGAAGGAAAGAAGAAAGAATGGAGAGAGAAGGGGGAGGAAGAAAAAAGGGAGAGAGGAGGGAAGGAAGCATTTATTAAATGCCTACTATGTGCCAGGCACTATGCTAAGTGCTTTACAACTATCTCATTTAATCCTCACAACCAACCCTGGGAGGTATCTGTTGTTATTGCCTCAGATGAGGAAACTGAGGCAGGCAGAATTTAAATGACTTGTCCAGGGTCCCACAGCTAGTAAATGTCTGAGTCCATATTTGAATTCAGGTCTTCCTGACTCCAGGCCCAGCCCTCTACCCACTGCACCACCCAGCTGAAGGCAAATAGTGGTTTAATGGAACATGAGTAATCAGGAGATCTAACTTCAAATCCTGTGTGATCTCAGGCTAAAGCTTTTTCACCTCTCTTGGCCTCAGCTTCTTCATCTGATAAATGAGGGGTTGTAGTGGAGGAGCTAACTTTTAACTTTGTAGCATCTTAGGGTGTTGGATCTCCCCAACAAATTGTCTCTCTCCTTTGTCTTAATCCCTCAGGGCCCTGGGTCTTGGTTGAGGGCTGGGGAGGAGGAAGAATCAGTGGAGGGCACCAATCATGTTACACTTAAACACCTTAAGGCCAGTGATTTCATCTGCTGCTGTCAGATCAGTGAAAGGAACCTTGTATTTGGAGTCAGAGGACTTGATTCCAGTTCTACCTACTACTACTACACTACTAACTGCCACTAATATACTAATAATACTAACACTACTACTGCTACCTGTTTGATCTGAGTCAGCATCTTAACATCTCTGAGCCTGAGTTTTCTCATCTGCCAAATAAGGAGGGCTAGATTGGATGGCCCCCCGATCTTCAATCGCCTGATCCCATGCTGAGCACTTATACCTTAGGGGATGGTCTTGGTGAACTGCTGTGGGCAAAAAAAAAAAATCCTTGTTCTGTAGCAGCCTGGTAATGAGCCTTTCTGAATTTATCCAGACTAGATCTAAGATTCAGGGTAGATGCTCCTTAGCTGGCTACCCTAAACACCTCCTTAGCTTGGGGACAGGATTAGACTTCTCAGGGCCCTAGAGCTCAAAATCCAGTGGTTCTGTATGAGGCAGGAATCCTTGTTAGGGGGCCACTGCCCAAGTCCCAGTGAGACAGAATGAAATACTTCAAGTCACAGCAGGGAGGGTGGGGATTTTAGGGTAATGGACATTTCTCCCAGAAGGAAAAGTCTCTTCCTTTCTCTAGACCTCAGTTTCCCCATGTGTAAAATGGGAGTTTGGATGAGACCATCTTTGTCTGAGGTGAATCTGAAATCACCATGCAGTTTCACACTTCTATGAAGACAAAGAAAACTGGAACATAAGACATAATGATCAATATGTGTTAATAAAGGAGAACTACACACTTGTCATCTGTGAAAGGCTGTTGTTACAGGGTAGTGGGAATAGCCTGTGTGGTTCCAAAGTGCTGAATTAGGAGCAGTGTGTGTGTGTGTGTGTGTGTGTGTGTGTGTGTGTGTGTGTACTTGGGGGACAGAGGGCAAGAAGAATCATAGGGCAGCAGATTTGGGCTCCTGACTTCTCAGCTGAAGTCCTACCTTTTGCAAGAAGCCTTTCCCGATCCTCCTTAATTTAGTGCCTTCTCTCTGAAATTATCTCCAATTTATATCCTTTATATATTTTCTTCATTATGTTTAGCCATGCCCAATCCTTTATGACCCCATCTGGGGTCATACTGCAGTGGTTTGTCATTTCCTTCTCCAGCTCATTTTGCAGATGAGTAAACTGAGGCAAACAAGGTTAAGTGGCTTGCCTATGGTCACACAGCTAGAAAGTGTCTAAGATTGAATTTAAACTCAGGTCCTCTTGACTCCAGGCCCCTCACTCTATCCACTATGTTTGTATGTAGCTGTTTGTGTATTGTCAAGAGCAGGGACTGTTTATTACTTTTCTCTATATCCCCAGTGCTTAGCACAGTGCCTGACAAACAGTAGGTACTTAATAAATGCTTATTGACTTGACTTACTATATAAAGATGAACTTCCTGACCATCAGAGCTATCTCAAAGTGGAATGGGCTGTCTATGGAGATAAAAGGTTCTCTCATTGGATATGTTTGAGTAGTGACTGGAAGACCATTTTTTCAGGGACATTAGTAGAGGGGATTTCTATTCAGGTCTGGGCTGGTTTGATGATTGCTTGAGGTCCCTTCCAACTCTGGAATGTCTGGTTCTTGGTCATGACATTTTCCATACAATAGACTCTGGGCAATAGTTTATAGGATTGAGGATGGAATGTTCTTAGGAGACATCCTCAGTGGGGTCTTAAAAGGCAAGTCCTCCTTTATACTCTGACCCTATGAGAAAGTGACCAGTCCTCAGACTCTGGGAGCCATACCAAGTGGTGACCCAATGAGGATCTGACAGTGTACTTGGAGAAATGCCACAATTCTTCTAATAACATTAACAACAACAACAACAGTAGCTCACATGTGTGTGACCCTATGCGATTACAAAGAACCAGCGTGTCTGAGTTCTCAGCGGATTTGCACAGCAGCCATGGGAGAGATAGGAAATGGAGTATTACCTCCTTTGTGTAGATGAAGGAGCTGAAGCTCAGAGAGAAGCAGGGACTTGGCCACCATCACAGGCCTGGTACGTACTAGATCTGGAACTCAAAGCCAAACTTCTGGCATCCGGTCCAATTGCTGAGTAAACCGGGAATAGAGCCCAGGTCTCCTGACTTCTCATTTGCACCAATCAATGAATCAGTCAGCAAGCATTTGTATAATGTGCCAAGCACAGTTCTAGGCACTAGGAGTACAAAGATAAAAGGGAAAACAGTCCACCCTCCCCTTTAAGGAACTTGCATTCTGTTGTGGCACTGTTCTTCACTTCAGTTTAATCATACAATTTCATATAAACTCACTATGATTCAGACAGCCAAAGTTTACCATTGCTCTTTCTGCGGAAAGAAAGCTTGTTAAACAAATCCATGGTGTAATCCAGGGAGAGATAGTACTTGTAAAGTGCTTTACAAACCTTAGAGTGCTGTGTAAATTTAGCGATTATTGTATTATTATACATGTTTAACCTACTTAGGGGAGCAATTGATATAATCGTAAGTCAGTCACTCTTATCTTGAAGGATTCTTCAAGCCCGTCTCAAAGGGTCTCTAGTTGCCTGGATATATTAGCTAGAAGTTCTTGTCACTGGATTTGTTTAAAAGTAATGGTGCTTTCCCAAAGAGGTCGAAGAAAAAGGGAAAGGACGTACGTGTACAAAAATATTTGCAGCAGTTCTTTTTGTGGTGCCTAAGAATTAGAAATTGAGGGGATGCCTATCAGTTGAGATATGGCTGAATAAGTTGTGGTATGTAGTTGTGATGGAATACTATTGTGCTACAAGAAATGACAGCAGGATTGTTACAGAAGAACCTGGGACGACATGAACTGATGCCAAATGAAGTGAGCAGATCCAGGAGAACGTTGTACACAGTAACAGTAATCAGCCGTGAAAGATGTAGCTACTTTGATCAATACAAAGATCCATGACAATTACAAAGTATTCATGATGAAAAAACGACATCCACCTTCAGAGAAAGAACTGATGAACTCTGAGTGCAGACTGAAGTATATTTTTTCACTTTATTTTTCTTGCTGGGGGTGGGGGGGTGGGGAAACATGGTGAATATGGAAATATGTTTTGCATGACTTCATATGTATAAAGTGTGTACTTGCTTGCCTTCTCAATGAGTAAGGGAGAGGCTGGAGGAAGGGAGAGAATTTGGAGCTCAAAATTTTTTTAATGAATTTAAGAAATAAAAAGGTTGCATCATAAAATAATAAAGCAACCTTTCTTTAAAAATATTTCTTGATTCTCATTCATTCAGATAGATGCGTTCTCCAAGTAATAGTGTTAAAAAGACAACTGTCATTGAAATCTATGTGCTGGGCCTTTTGGGGAGGGGGGCAGAACCAGAGATGAGCAAGACTGGTCCTTTCTGATGAGCACAGCTGAAAAATTTAATAACACTTGAGTGGTTATGATTGTTGTCCTTCATGCTCTAACAGGACAAAAATGACATCACCCTGTCAGGGTCAAGTTACAGTGTGTCTGACTGGCTAATCGGACCAATATAAGCTCAGAAGGCTCTACGGGTACAAATAGTCCATAGGAATATTGGGAGTGTAGATGTCTCTAAATTTGCGCATCTCACGTTAATAATAATAATGATGATGATGATGATGGTACAAAACAACAGAGATTGCATATGGCAGGGCAGAATCGTGGGACTCTTAGAATCTGTAGAAGGACTTTAGATCTGGAAAGGACTTAGACAGTCAGAGCCAGAAGGGGTCTTAGAGCATGGGACATTAAAGCTGAGTTAGCAGTGCAGTATAGTGGGAAGAGCCCTGACTTTGGAGTTAGAGGTCTTGGGTTCAGATCCTGCTTCTCTCTGG